GCCAGCACTATAACTGAACAGTCTGCCACAACTACTGTAGGCACTTGCCCTGAGACTACAACCACCACAACCACCACTGCCACCTCTACTGAACCCACAACCACAACATAACCAGCACTGCAATTGAACAGTCTGCCACCATAACCATAGGCACTTCCACTGAAGCTACAACCCCCACAGTCACCACTGCCACCTCTACAGAACCCACAGCCACAACAACAGCATGAACTACAACTGAACAGTCTTCCACAACTGCAGCACTTCCTCTGATACTGCTACCACACTTAGGACCACTACCATCTCTACTGAGCCCAGCACTACAACAGCCAGCCCTGAAAGTTAATAGCCTGACACAATAAGTGCAGCAACTTCTACTGAGTCTTCAACCACACTGGTCACCACTACTCTTCCTCAGAAGTCACCACTTCAATCCAACCAGCCATCTAACCGCCAGAACTTTTACTGAGACTACCATCATGGTGAGCACTACTACCTCCTCTGTTTAATCTACGACACCAGTAGTAACCAGAAACACCATTGAAACAACTGCCACAATAATGTCAGGCCCTTCCACTGTGGCTACAACTACAACAGCCACCACTCTCCCTTCTACTGTACCCACAACCACAATAGCAACTAGCACCGAAACTAAACAGACTGCAGCAATGACTGCTGGTACTTCCACAGAGGGTACAACCAAAATTACCACTACTGTCACTGAGTTGACAACCACAATAGCAGCCATGTTGCCCATTGAACAGACTAGTACAACAACTTCAGGGACTTCCACTTAGCCTTCAATCACAATGATCCCAACTTCTGCTTCTACTGAATCTTCAATCACAACTGCAACCACCAGCTCACCTGAACTGACCACCACAACAACCACAGACATTCCCACTCAGGCTACAACCACAAAATTCTCCATTACTACTTCTACTGAACCCACTACTCCAACAGCAGCCAGCATAGTTCTACTGAAGATTCAGTAGAACTAAACCTGCAAAACAGAAATAGCCACCATTTTGACTATGATCATTATCATA